TCAGGAAACTTGATTAATAAAAAACATCAAAGACTGATATACAGGAGAGTCCCAGAAGAGCCAAAGGAGAAAAGAACACAAAATAATTGAAGAAGCAATGGCAAAAAAAAAAAAAATCCTACAAATCCCAGAAGTTGAACAAACACTAATTATACAAACACAAATAAATGAAGACTAGACACACCTGGCCAAACTGCTGAAAGACAAAAGTCATAAAAGCAGCAGGAGTAAAACCCATCACAGGCAGGACAGAAGCATGGCCTTCTGTCACAGGCATCTGAGGCTACAGGGCAGTGGAATGACATATTCAAGCGCTAGAGGAAAAAAAATGTCAAACAAAAATTCTAAACCCATCAAACACTGTCCTTTAAAATGAACTTTAAATGTAGTCCAAGATGAATAAAGATTGAAAGAATTTGTTTGCCTTCTTGCTTTACATGGAATACTACTGGATGTACAAAGGAAGTGATGAGAGACTCGGTAACAAATCCAGAGGACAATGGAGAGCAGCAGAAATGGGTAGGATGTGGGCAGGCATAAAGCATACAGACTTGTATTTTTTTTCTTCTCCTAAATTCTTTAGGAGACACGATTTTGTAAAGAATTATTACAACACTGGAATGTTTTACATATGTATGACAACAGTACAAAGGAGAGGAAAGGAAAGGAAGTAAACTGATGTAAAGCTGCTGTAATTTACCAGATGTTAGTCAATGCTAAGCTGAAGGAGACAGTAAAAAGTGAAGATGCCTATCTACTGTAACACCTGCAGCCACTGCTTAGAAAATAACTCAAAAATAGTTAAAACTCGAGTAATTAAAATGGTATCCTCACAAATATTTAACACAAAAGCAATAAAGGAGAAATCTAGTGCCAAAAGAGATGTAAGATGTACAGAAAGCAGATAGCAAAATGGCAGATGGAAATCCAACCATAATTACATTAAATATTAATGGACTAAAAACTCTACTCAAAAAAGCAATGCTTACCTGGGCACCAGTGTCTCACATTTGTAATCCTACTTGGGAGGCTGAGATTAGGAGGGTCAAAGTTTGAGGCCAGCCTGGACAAATAGTTTAGAGATCCCCATCTCCAAAATAATCAGAGCAAAATGGACTGAAGGTGTGGCTCAAGCAGTAGAGTGCCTGCTTTGCAAGTGTGAAGCCCTGAGTTCAAACCCCAGACCCACCCCCACCCCCACAAAAAACAGCAATGCTTAAGCTGCACATGGTGGTGAATGCTTGTAATTCCAGCACTTGGGAGTGACAGGCAGAATCATTGTGAGTTCAAGGCCAGCCTGGGCTATATAGCAAGACTCCATCGCAAAAAAAAAAAAAAAAAAAATAGGATAAAAAGAAAAGAACAGAAATATTCCAGATGGACTTTAAGAAATATTACTAGAAACAGGGTATTTTATAACAAATGGAAAGGTGTATACACCTAACAACAGATCACCAAAGTAGATGAAGCAAAACTGACAGAATTGAAGGGTAAAATAGGCAATTTAACAATTATAATAAGACATTACAATGTTCCTTTTTGGCAATACAGGGGGTTGAACTCAGGGTCTTACCCTTGCTAGACAGGTGTTCTACCACATGAGCAACCCTGCCAGTTATTTTTATGTTGATTATTTTTAGGTAGGGTCTCACTTTCTGGCCCGGACTGCAATCCTCCTATTTGTGCTTCCCAATATAGCTGGGAATAACAAGCACATGTTATTGTATCCAGTCACTGGTTGAGATGGGGGTCTCATTAACATTTTGTCTGGGCTGACCTTGAACCATGATCCTCCCAAATAGGATTACAGACTTGAGTCACCACACCAAGTCTCACACTCATTGTCAGGATAAACACGCAGAAAATCAGTACAGCTAAAGCTGACCTGAACAGACTGTCAACCAAATATACCCAAAGGACATCTTCAAACACTTCACCCAAAGAAAGCAGAATATGCACTCTTGAGGTGCACGTGAAACATACCCCAGAATGGATCATATACTATGCCATGGAACTGCAAAAGGACTAGAATCATTGAAATATATTTTCTAACAACAAAGAAATATAATCACCAGAAGAAATCTGAAAATTTCCCAAGTGTTAGAAATAAAGTCACACATTTCTAAATAACCAATAGGTCAATGTAGGAAGAGAAGCCCTCTGAATCCTAGCCAGGGTGACTCCATCTTACAGTATGCAACAGCTCAGTGGCTGTTCGAAGTGCCAGACTGCATAAAAACCAAGTCATCCTTCCCATGGTCTGCAGTGCCAGACTGCATCAAAACAAAGTCATCCTTCCCATGGTCTGCAGTGTTTGCTGAGACCAACACAATCCCCAAATAAGAGCAAGGACAGAGTGCAGATACATATATAACTTTCCCAATCTGTTTTTATCTGTGCCTTATGTTATCTGAGCCTGCGGTCACTTCTTGGGAAATGCACTCATCTCTCTCTCCATAAGTGGTCCACCTCTCCATAAGTGAACCCTAATAAACTCATTTACTTGTTGAGCTAGACTTGTTCGAGTCATCCTTGACACTATTAAGTGCAGGCCCAATTCAGAAATAGACATTTCTTTTATGTTTCCCAGGGAAACTCATACAGCAGTGAAAAAAGAAATCACTTTTGGAAAAAAAAAAATCAAAATTAGAAAAAATTTTAAAGTAAATGGAAACAAAAATTCAACATATCCAAAGTAATGAGGTAGGCTTAGACAGAACTTGGAGGGAAAATTGGAGCTTTAAGCATCTACATTAGAAAGGAACTGTTTCACATCAATAGTCTAAACTTCCATTTTAAGAATAAAGAAACATAAATTAAACCTAAAAGAAGCAGAAGGAAGTAAAGATAATAGGGGGAAATTAATGAAAAAGCAAACAAAAACAAAGACAAAATAAAAGAAACCACAGTTCTCTTGGGAAAAAAAATTCAACAAACTTGAAAAAAGATGTAACACAGAATTCCAAAATCAGTATTGAAAGGAGCACCACTACTGACTCTACTGAAATTAAAACAATTATAAAATCAACTTTATGTGAACACATTAGATAATGTGGATAAAAAGCCAAATTCCTAAAAAAAAAAATACTAGCAAAACTTATAACTTTAAAATCTCTCCTTACACACACACACATGCACACACACACGCACACACACACGCACACAGGGTAAAGGCCATCATCTAGTGAATTCTATCCAATATATAAAGAAATAATACTAATTTTAACCAATTCTTTCAGAAAACAGAAGCAAAGGAATACTTTTTCAAACTGATGCTATAAGACCAGCATAACCCACTCCCCAAAACAAGACTTAACATGAAAGAAAACAAGAAATCAATATCCCTCTGGGAAATACACATGGAAATCCTAGACATAATATTAGCAAATGAAATCCAGCAACATATAGAAAGCAATAAATGCCATGACAAAGTGAGATTTGTATGACCACACTAAGCAGTTCCTGCTCCCTTGTGTTCGGCCATCACCTTAGCATAGATTTCAGATTAATTCCTGCATCAGTCTGAAACACTGTTGAGCTTTCCAAACTTTCAAATTTCACTTCTAGGTTTTTGCTTTCAGAGGTAGTTATCAGAAAGAAGAGATTCTTCCCATCAAACCCCACCACCACCCAGTTAACCTGGTTCTGGGTGGAAAAAGAAACTGGATTAATCCCAAAATATAGCTCATATTATAGACAGAGGAAGATGTGTTAGAGAAAGCTATAGTAACAAGATGCATATAGAATTTTATGCAGCCATGAAGAACAACGAAATGTTATCATTCGCAGGTAAACGGATAGAACCGAAGAACATAATTCTGAGTGAGGTTAGCCTGGCCCAAAAGACCAAAAATTGTATGTTCTCCCTCATATGCGGACCTTAGATCAAGGGCAAACACAACAAGGGAATTGGACTTTGATCACATGATAAAGCGAGAGCACACAAGGGAGGTATGAGGATAGGTAAGACACCTAAAACTAGATAGCATTTGTTGCCCTCAATGCAGAGAAACTAAAGCAGATACTTTAAAGCAACTGAGGCCAACAGAAGAAGGGAACCAGGAACTAGAGAAAAGGTTAGATCAAGAAGGATTAATTTAGAAGGTAACACACATGCACAGGAAAGCAATGCTAGTCACCTCCCTCTATAGCTATCCTTATCTCAACCAGCAAAAACCCTTGTTCCTTCCTATTATTGCTTATACTCTCTCTTCAACAAAATTAGAGATAAGGGCAAAATAGTCTCTGCCTGGTAGCGAGGGGGTAGGGGGGAGAGGGAAGGGGTAGGCGGTGTAAGGGGGGGAGAGGGGAGAAATTACCCAAACATTGTATGCACATATAAATAAAAGAAAAAAAAGATGCATATAACTAAAACATTCATATTCTTCTCTAGGGATCAGTAAAATAATTTATCTAGAAATAACAGTATTTAGGTAGACATTCATTTCAGCATGTGTCCATCAGTTCAGAATTATAACCTTCAACCCACAGTATGAATAAGTTAGCTAATTCCATATTAATGAATGTAAAAATCTCAGTTTCACATTGTTTTGTTATACAACAAAGCTAATCATTTCAGTTCTTAAAATGTAGTATTTCAGATGAAAGAAAAAATGTGACACTATAAAAGACATCACTGGATGTCACACACAGGCGACGTGAAATATCACAAATACCAACTAAAAAGTTCAGATCGATATTTTAAATAATAAAACCAGGACACAAAAGCTATGTATTCTGCAGCAAAACTTCTTTTCTCCAATTGAAAGGATCAAAAATTTTGAGTAGATTTCCAGGAAAAGTGTATCTAGGTTAAGTCTATGGCCTGATACCAATGGCTAATTTCAAAAATTACACTTAGGTGGTGATATATACAAATAATCAAAGCTTATTATGTTTTTCTGGGTGAAAATATAACACTTCTATATAAAGAACTACAAAATAAGTCATGACAATCTACAGATTATATGCAATTTTATTTAAATAATTTAATAGTGCAGAGTGAGCCAATTTATAAGTATAAAAATAGTTTAACAACCAAATATAAGCACCACACAGAAGCAGATCACACCATATCATTATCAGGCCTTTGGAAGATTAAGGCAGCATAATATCTGTAGTCATTTTATGAGAAGACTTTACTCATATGATAGACGTTATTCAAACATCTGAAGAGAGGCAGAGCCCACAGTTTTTTCAGCATAAAGCCTTCCCTCCCAGTTTTCCTGTTGATATATTAATGATTCTCCTTGAAAATAGCACAACACAATCAGTCTAGATTGACAAACGGGCTATCGAAGCCACTGTCTTGCTGGTTAGAAAGGGGAGCAATTACTTTTCTTGAAGGATGCTGACACACTGAAGAGGGTACTGCTCTGCTTAGTTTTTTGAAATCTGACTTTAATATGTCAGCTTTAGGATAAGATGGATGTCCAAGAGTCACAGGGCTTTTCCCTTGCTGGGGATACATGGCTTCTTCTGACAGGTCTGGAATGTGGTCACTCTGACATTTCACTGGTTGACAAATCATATTATTTTTCTCTGTATCTGAAAGACAAGTGGCTGCTGAAAATTGTTTGAACTTAATAGATTCATCTAGTATACCCAAAGTTCCTTGTGGCCTATCATGTAAAAATGATACTTCGTGACTGTCACAGAGTAAAGTAGCACTGTTGGAAAGCCAGCCTAAAGAGCCACTAAGGTCCCTCTATCCTTTACTGGAGTTTCCTGAACATCCAAACCTTGGCTTTTCTCAGATGCGGCATTTTCACTTTCTGTTAGAGAACAGCATGTATATGCTTTTAAACTAGGTCTTTCATTAGGATCTTGAGAGGTTGTTTGTGTGGATCCTGACTCAGAAAGGCTAGGGATATTTCTGGATGAGGGCTTATTTCCAAAGGCTCCCAGAAAGGGGTATGTGACTGAATGCAAAAGTGATTCAGAGCCAGTGTCACTGAGTAGGTCTTTCTTCTTGTGCAAAGCAAAGCCTCCTTCACCTTCAACAAACTCAGGAGCAACACTCTTTGGCAAAATATCTAGGTGCTTGCAACTACTATCCCCAAACTGAAAGTCAGCAGGGGACCCTTTGGAATCCACATGTTTTGTGTCTCCATGCTCAGAAGCCTCTAATCGCCTTCGTAAGTTACAAGCAACCCTCCTCTTAGAAACTTGTTCACACATATTTCTGGGAAGGATGTTTAGACTGTTGGATTTGCTTTCAATGTAACGTGGTACACTCTGATTCACATCATTTCTTTTTGATTTTTCAACACCAATCAGCATCTCTGAAGTCAGGGGCAGTGCTACTATGTGCAAGGGAACACAAAATTAGGGGAACACAAAATTAGGAGAAAAATTAACATTAGAGAGAAGAATAAATATGTTTTATATATTCTCAAAAATATATATTTTTAATCACTCTCAAAGACATGGTAAACATGTAAAAATATTCTTTTACAAAATCCACTAAATAAAGTCTGGTAATTTTGTTACTAAAGTATGATATTACTATTGCTATCTGTCTGATTCCTTGTCTTTTGCAATAGATGTTATAGCATTTTAAGAGCCAACCAAAATGTTTTCAATCTTGCTCTGAATATCAGGTCACATGTGGAATTTCTGATGAAGAAAAACTGGTAGAAGACCCCACCCACTATAATTACACCCCCCCCACACACACACCTCTGTAAAAGCTAAATAGAGTTTCTAATTTAACTAACTAGGGTACTAAATCTTATCAGAGGCTAAACAGCCACATAGCATAGACTCAGACTCATGTTTTAGGACAGTGTCTTGGTGCCTAGAATCCATGAAAAGAGTTTGGTTCTACTGAGGACATTGCCTGTATTGTTACCCCAGATCTAGAAAATTACATTGTGATATGCCACTGCCCTTTTGTACCTAAAAGCTCACATTACCATTTCAAAATTTACATGCGTAATCTTTGTGCTTCTATATGAGCGCTATTTCATGGATTCCCTAACAATCTCTGATTCAAGTTTGCCAAAACTTTGAAATCTCCATTTTCCCACAGATAGGTTAATTATCTCCCAGTGTGACTGGGAATTTACCTTTTTTTTTTTTTTCATATATTTCTATCAGTGCTTGCTTTATGTTATACTCAGGAAGTTTCTTGGGAAGACTGTTCAATTATTATTATGAACTATCATCTTTGTACCTTTTAATGCAAACTCTAATGTACCTAAAACTGTGTTTACCTTTGTAATTCATCCAGTACCAGAATAAGACTGACACTCTGGTCAATCACTCTCCTTCTCTTTATTTTGAATTTTAGATGCTCTTCTTATAAAAATAGCAAATGCTCATATTTTGTTAGACCCTATTTGAAAGTTGTGGTCTTTTAATAACTGACTTAAACCTTCTCATATTTAGTGTCATTGATGATATTTCAATTTTTATGTTTTATTTACCCATATGGTTTTTTTTCTCCTTCTTTCTTGATTTTGTTAGACTGAAATTGTTCTTCCAAAGTTTTCCTTTACTTGTTTGAAAGTTATATATTCTATTTATATTTCTTACAGGTTACCCTTAAAATTTTAATACATTTAAACTTATATTTTTCTAGCAACAGCTAGAGTTATCAGTATCTATATCCTCTTCTTGAAAATAGTAAAAATCAACACATTTTTAGTTTCCTTTACTATATCCTCTTTATTCTTTCTAAGAATACTATACTTTTGAACATTCTCAAGTCCTATTCCTTGTTCTATTAGCATTAGATATAAGTTCTCTTTGGTGTCAATTTGGTGTTTGGTTCCACCCCTCCACCCCCAATAGTGATGGCTTTCTTGGTTAAATGCTTATCTTTTTTACGTCCTGAACACTGTATCTATTTGTGCTTCTTAATGAAGTTGGTATGGGGAGGGGAGGTAAGCTGAAGAAAAATCTAATAGCTGGTACTGTGGCCATGGGAGTTCTTAGGTCCTCCTTGGTATCTACCCACCTGAAGCACTACCCTCCTCCCAGATATATTGTTCCTGTTGCTGTTGCCCAGCCTAATACTGGGGCTGGGAAAGGGAAGGAAGAAGAAGAAATAAAACAAGAGAGACTCCACCTGGTGGTCACTGCTCTAGAACACCAACTAATTATCCCACAGGCATCCATCCCCATGTCCTCCTACTACTTATAGAACCTACTACTTCATGTGTGGCAGTTTTGATATTGTTCCTACTGTGGATGTCATCTTCCAGCAGTTTTCAGTCAAACTTTTCCATCTTTAATCATACACCATCTTTCAGGGATTTCTTAGAGTTTCTGGTCTATCCATTACAACCTTTTAAAACCCAGTTATATTTCCATCTTTTGCTCATTCTTTATTTGTTTAAAATCTTTTCTATCATTCCTAGGGATGGAAGCAACAATGGGCAGCCAGTGGATATGCTCATCTATCTATCTGGAATGGAAATTCTATGCTCTTTTTTTTTTTTTCATAAATTTCCAGCTTGAGTTATACACCCTTCTTACTCCCCCCAACAAACACACAACTTTATAAATTAACTCTCATTCCTTACTCTTCTGCTCTTTTTTCATACTGAAAATATTAAATATTCAGAAAAGAAGAGAGAGAAACCACTCAAGTGACATGTTTGGACATACCTGACTGTGTGGTTTTGCTCTGGGATCTATTAGAAGTAGGCGTTTCTAGCAATTTTGCCATTGTAGCAAGTTTGCTAGCAGCATTCATAATTTTTTTCTCAGCCCTGTGGGGAATTCCAGAATATAAAACTAAAGCAGTTTAAATGGAAAAAAAAAAAAAAAAAACCCAAGTTTCTTCAGCCCCAGGATTATTTTCCTATTACCTCTGCCAAAATTTAGGGTAGCACAGCCATATGCCTTTCTTAATACCCAGCAGCTGATCATATAAAAATAGTTAATATTGTGGTTAAGGAAAATGCTCAGAAAATGACAACATGCTGTCCTGGCACACTTAGGTCACATTGTTTAGATTGAACTTACCGTTCTTCTTTTCCATCATCCTGTAAAATCTGCTGGAGGCAAATCAGATAATATTTGCGCATCTTTCGGGCAGTTTCTTGCCTTTCTCGCAACACCTCTGCCTTCACCATCTCTGCAGCTCTTTCCTTACTCTCCTGAATATAATGAAGCATATCACCTGCAGACAGTGAGGAGATCCCCACAAAACGCATGCTCATTAGCACTTTTTCAGAAATGGGAGAGGCAGACTTCAGGCCAATTTTCTGGGAAATAAGGCGACTGGAAGTATAGTTTCAACATCATACTTTCCCTAGTCATTACAATGGAATGTTTTCAGGTCACCATTTTGGTGGTCTCAAAGGAGAAACAATCCATTAGCCCTGGAATGATGGCAGCTACGCGTGGTAAGTAAACATGGCACATACTGTCATGTTCTAGAACACTTAGGTAAGAAAGGAAACGACAGAAACTCACGTATTTCAGTTGTACACTATGTCCATAAGAGAAGAGAAAAAATACACAGAAAGAGGGGAAGAAAACCAGTAGAGGGGGAGAGGGTGGGTGCAGGGGCAGGGGGGAAAAATGACCCAAACAATGTACACACATGTGAATAAATGAATAATAAAAAAAAAAAAGAAAGAAAAGCAGTAGAGAAAAGCAGACACTGAAAAAAGAAGAAAAAGAGACAGAATAAGCTAGAAAAATCATATTCTTCCCTGGTGCTCTGTGAATCATGTCCCATTATTTATTTAATATTCTCAGCAGCATTTATTATCTAACTGAATAAACTACAATCTATAAGGAGATGTACAAAATGCTGCTGGCAAGAAGGATGATGAGATACATCTACCTTCTGAAATTTACACAAAAATCCTAATTCACACCTTTGAAATTTTTCATCTTTAACTAACATAGCTTTGATTGGGACTACTATTAGTTAAGGCTAACATTTTTAAACTAAACCCAAAAAGACATCCTACATGCAGACTACTACCATCCTTATTGCATTAGGATTACTCATTCACACAGAAATTGCCTGCTTAAAATCAGTAAGTAGCTGAAAACCAGAAGTTCTATGCAAAAATACTATTTTTCCTTATTTGAAATGGAAAAAATTAAAATGCAGTACATTTCAATATAAAACCTCCAAATATCTTACTAACATGTAACTAAATATAATACACATGAGTTATATTAGGATAAAAATGCTTAAAATTTCATTCTCTAATTATTAATTTTAAAAAGTCACTTTGTAGTAATATGCCTGTGGTTAGCACCAGCAACAACTGAATGCAAACTTAGTTGATAACTGAGTGAGTTTTCAAAACATCTACACATGACTGGGTATCTACCAATTACATTTAGAATTTGAGACCTTTCCTACTATTTTTGTCTTAAAAATGCAATTTTGCAAGATAAACATACATCTTTTGCTAAATAAACACTGGTTACTGCCTTGGGGCACACATGCATTCTATACAAATTTTGTCATTATAAAGCAAGAGGTATGCTACACTATTAAAATACACACCTGGAAATGCTTGACAGGGCAGCTAGTGCCACCTCGTCCTAACAGAGACTTGACAAACAACTTTACAGCTACCTGAAGTAATGGTGAGAACCACAGAACAACTGCTAACTACAATCATGTTCACAGGTCATAAACGTTTACAGTAGGAAATAATAATTGCTCATTTAAAACTTGTGCAATACCTTCTTTGCTACAAGTTACTTATGTTATAAGGCTACTACATTTTTTAGCTTAATACTAATGTCCAAACAAAACAGGATAATCAACAATATAAAAATTACTTTCATGTCACTTTTTTTTTTTTTGGGTGCGACTGGGGTTTGAACTTAGGGCTTCGTGCTTGTAAAGCAGGCTCTCCATCACTTGAACCACACCTCTGGTCCATTTTGCTCTGGTTATTTTGGAGATAGAGATTAGCAAACAAACTATTTGCCCCAGCTGGCCTCGAACCACGATCCTGCCAATCTCAGCCTCCCAAGTAGGCGTGAGTCACTTCTAAAAGATATTATTTGGGCAAATTATCCATTACTACATAATTTTGAATTGGTACCATGATCTCATCTGAGATTCAAGAAAAAGATAGTGTGGAAAATTCCTGAAAGTACTAATGCTGATAAACTCTGAGCTTACATTCACAACAATGAAAAAGACCAAATTCACCCTAAAATCTTGAGACTCTCTTTAGGGACTTACGTTTAATTTTTTTTACAGCTTTAATGTACTGCCCACGAAGTTCTTCCAAGGCTTGCCCATTGCATGGTGGGCAAGAACTTTCAATGGCCCCTTCTGACAGTGACCTAAAGATAAACCAAAGACGGCTTAAACCAAGGTTATAAATGAAAAAGTTCACTTGAAAAATATTCATGTATTCATACATTCTAATAAAATAAGATGACATGATATAAGATTTCATATACAAGGATCTCCATTTGTATATGAAATTGAAATTAAGAGGAAAAAGGAAACAGCTGTAAATGTTATGGTTGCTTAACTACATAATGATAAATGTACTTGAAAATGAATGAAACGAACTAAAAAGCATACTACAAGAAAATATCTAATAACATGGGGAAATCCCTTTCTAATAATAAAGGGTTACAATAATTATAATTTAAGCACACTGTACACAAGGGCTGTGGAATAAAAAGACTTGAATGAAGCCAGAAATGGTAGCACACGTTTGTAATCCCAACACTCAAGAGACTGAGGCAGAAGAGTCACATATTCAAGGCCAACCTGGGCCACACAGAGTTCCAGGCCAGCTACATAGTGAGACCTTGTCTCAAAAAGAAAAGAAAAAAGAAAAAAGGCTTAAATGATGTAAAAAAAAAAAAAGGATTGTCTTCTGGAGATAAGGTATGGAAGACTTTTTTCTTCCTTTTTATACTTTTTGTTATATAACAAAACAAAAAAGGGTGATATTTCTAAAACTTTACAGATACTAAAAAATCAGTCTTTAAAATAGTAAAAGTCTACCTTGGTGGAATTATACAGAATGTTTGCAGTTCTTTCACTTTATTCTTCATGGCATTGTTTTCTTCTATCAATTCTTCAACAACTTTACTATTGTCTTCTATAAAAGAAAGTTTATAGTATATTAGTTAATTTTTTCCAGTCTTCCTGTCCTAACAGAAATGTCTATAGAGAAGCTCTCGTGTTTCATTCCCCAATAATCCTTAGTCTGGCCATTTCCTTGTGCTGTTTTCTTACCACTTAAAATTTGCACTTCATCTGTACTTCACACTGTCCTGGAATTGGTGTCTAATTAGCTCATATGTATGGATTTTGCTTTCTAGCTAGACTGAAGCACTATAAAAGCCTACTAGGTTCTCAAATTTCATATTCTCTTAGATCTTAGTACACCTTCTGTGTTCATATAAATAATCAGTCAATAAGCATCTCAATGTAAAATAAAAAGAAAACTAATCTGAAGTGGATGATATTTTCAGAACCAGTGTAGATGTTGAAAGGAGACTGAGAGTCCATGTGATATGAAAGGAGAAATATGAATTTTAGACTGAAAAGTTGAAAGCACAAGTTCAGCTTCTTACGAGTTGGATGAGCCTAGACAAATTACTTAATCTTTCTAAACCTGAGACTTTTTTCACGTGTAAAATGGGGACAGTGTTACATACCTTACGGATAATAATAAAACAACAAATACACAATACCTTATATAAGTCCTGGCAATACCAATGTTGAGTAAATGTGAATAAAGCACCTCATATTTCCTACTATGCCCCCTGCCAAAACAAAGCTGAGGAACAAAACCATCCTATTCCTCCCAGTGGTTGGGACAGCATGCATTTTTAAGTCATACACTCTTAGTCCACTATTCTCCAAAGGAAATGAAATGTGGAAAAGAGAAAGTCATAACTGCGAAGATACTATCACCTAAAAGATTTATATTAAGTCACAAATTCATATAGAACTATTAAATGGCTTAAATTCTGGTCCCGACCCTTTTTCAGCAGCTCCTTTTAAGAAGTATTAACTTTTTGGATTATTTCTAAGTCTATGAATTGTAGAAGATAACAACCTTGAAAATCATTAATATAAAATGACTATCTAATCACAATGTGCAGTACTAAATATTACTGATCATAAGTAACAACCATGCCCGTGCTGTTATTTTACTACGTAAAAAATATATTCTTGGTTTTCATCAAATTTTACAAGAGCTGCACTACATCTATACTTAAGACAGACATTTCATTTACTCTACTGGCTGCAATTAAGGAGCTAAGTAATCAGAAAGAGAGGTACAGTTGTTAAACTTTTTTACCTCAAAAGTCTTAAAATGCTTTTTGGCCTTACAGTACTTGTTAACTCTCTCCAACAGACTTAGAGGTAGGGAAACTATACTAAGTTCTGGGGCAGGACTTGATTAACATTGCCATAAAGTTTACACCTCAAAGAGGAGTGCAGACAATAATTACAAAGAAGATGAATATTATAAATAACAGAGGAGCTATGGGGGATGCATGAAAGGAAGACTCACCCAGGCCCAGGTCCTTCTTCCCTGGGGAAGTAATATGTCAGGGGAAAGAGAACAAGAAGGTAGTCAGGCAATGAGATCAGGAAGTTTTGGTTAAGGGAGAAAAGGCCCAAAGATGGGAGACAATAAAATCCACGTTGAGCTCTACTGAGAAAGTAAGAGGGGTTGGTTGACAAGGCTGGGGGCGTTGGCAGCGTCTAGATCATTCAGAACGCTTTTAAACAGTGTTGTATTATCTGTTTTTCATATAAAGGCCACAGGAAGTCACTGAAGAACTCTTCACAAGAGTGCCATGATCCAATTCACTTTTTAAAAGGTTGCTCTAGTTGCCTTATGGAGAATGGATTGGTGGGGCAAGAATGGAAGCAGAAAGACACAGAAGGTGACTTCCATTGTCCAGGCAAGAGACAGGTGAATGCAGAAAATAAATGAACCTATTTGCTGGTCTTTTCTGGATGACACAATTACGCGAGCCCCTGGTATTCAGTTTCTCATTCATTCAAACATTATCTGATATGTAGGTGGGCACCATGACTACAAGGATGAACAAGTTAAGACATATTCCTTATCTTTAGGGAACAGTTTGGGCAGGTCACTGGACAAATAAAATACAGATTTTTTAACAGGGGGACTAGAGGAAGAGCCAAGTGCTACAGGGCTGCATAGGAGTGGCCCACATAACCCAGATAGAAAAATCAAGGAGGGCGTTGGAGATGAGACAGCTTCTGAGATGAATGACAAAAAGTGATTGGGAAAGTCCACAAGCCAGAGTGATGACATTGCATGCAAGGTCCAGCAGAAAGATAAAACAAGGCTGTTGAGAAATGTGAAACATCTCCAACGTAAAGAGTAGAGAGCACAGTGTGTAGATGAGTAGTGAAGGTTAAGAGGGAGCAGCTGTTTAGACATGTCTGCTTCAGGAAACACGGAAGATAACCCTTTCAGACCCACTGCCTGACAACACTGTGCTCAGTGGACTGGTAGAGGCCAAGCCAGACCCATGTGCCTCTGTTTATGCCTTTCCCGAGCCTCCCAGAACGCTGCTCTCCTTGGCAAACACCTCCATCTTTTGAGGCTAAGTCTTCCAGTGTCTAGAATGCACGATACATATTAGGCCCTCAATAGCTGTTCCATCAAGACGCTTTTAATCAGAGCTGAAATTTTCCTCTTTGGATTTTACTAATAATTTGGTTAGTAAAAGTAAGATCCAAATTAGCTTCTGTCATTCCCAAAAGAGAATCATGCATGAACAACAATGTCACATTCGAACATTTCAACAAAACTCAAGGAGCTTTGGACTAGTCATAGCTTTAGGTGCTAACCTCCAATTTTTTCCACTACTGCTTTGTGCTTCCTTTCTAAATGCTGAAGATGCCTACAGCATTTGTCCAGTTTTCTTTTCAGATCTTGGCATTCCTGCTTTTCCTTTTTAAGTTCTTGGAAGCAGTGTCCACAGCATATATCTTTAATTTCAAGGGTCTTTTTCTTATCTGTAAAAATTAAATGACAGAAAACTTTTATATCAGCTTAAAGACTATCCAAAAAAAAAAAGGAAAGGAGCAAAGAAACCAAATGACATGATTCATGATCAATGGCTACAGAATGACTGAAAGAACATGATGCTTGAGAGAGAGGCCTGGGTTTAATTCCTTTTCCACTACTTACTGGCCGTGTGACTGAGAGCATATTACTTAATTTTTTAGTATGTAAAATTGGATAATACCATCTACTTAAAAAAACTGCTATGAAATGTAACACTCAGATCTTGGTGCTGAATATCATTCTGCACTTAAAAGGAATGAGGAATTTTCAAGGAATGGCTGGCTTTGGTACTGGGAGAGGCATACACAAAATGAGGCCAAAATATCTCGACATGCCAGCAAGGAAGAAAGTACTCAAAAATACAGGCACATTACAAGGACACAGGAGCCGGTTAGAAGCTGAGTGTGGGACAATTTGAATACTAATGAATTGTAATGTACTGAAAAATAGTAATTCATAAGTTATACCAATAATCCCATCATAGATAGGTTTGAGGGATGGATAGACAGATGGGTAAATAAGGAAAGGATTCTTAATTACAACAACAGGGTGAGTACCAGTTGGTAAAAATGGAGGGAGGTATGCTGTTGGAAAAATTATCATTTTGCAACCACCATGGTAAAGATAGTCAGGCAAGAATCGCCAACAACTGTCACACCTAAGAGAAAGCGTTAATGAGAAGAAGGATATTTGCATGTTCTTCAAGAATTTCCCCACACACTGCTTATTAGTTCAAGGGGGAAAACCCCAGGAATTACATGATGAAGAAACTGAACAACATTTTGACCAGGTGATCAAAATTAATCTTAACAATAAAAGACAAATGGACACCACACGATGCCAGATGTGAAACAATATCACCCCATGCAGTGTTGAGCCAAGAAAGCACAATCAGAATGTAATCATGAAGAAAGATAAGATAAACCCAAATGTGATCGTTTTGCTTAAAAAAAAAAAAAAAAAAAAAAAGGTGGTGGAGAACAGAAAATATTTCCCTCAAAAATTCCAATGTCACACAAAGCTGAGAGAGGCCATGGAAGCATTCTCTATTAGAGGAGGCAAAAGACACATGATAACAAAGTATGACACCTGACCCCAGACAGATTTCTACACAGGAGGAGGAAAATACCATGCAAGATGAAATCTGGGTCAATTGATAAAAGTAATTCTACTTTTATCAATTTTATCTACAAATGGCAGATTGATACTTTTATCTAATGTTAAAGGTTGCCTCTACTCAGGTTATGAAAGAAAATACTCCTATTCTTGGAAAATATAGGCCAAGGTATTTAGAGATAAAAGATCACAAAGTATATATCTTACCCTGAAGTGGTTCTGAAAGAAACGAAACTCACAAATACATATACATAGAACAACAAAAAGAGGATAAAATGTCATAAATAAGTATATCTAGTTAAAGGGCACATCACTGTTCTGTACAACTATTTGGACTTATGCTACTTTTTAAAATAAGTTTAAAATTATCACTGGAGGTGAGTCTCAAGTGATACAGCACCTGCTTTTAGCAAGTGTGAAGCCCTGAGTTCAAACCCCAGTACATCAAAAGAAAAAAAAAAAAAAACTCCAAATTTTAAAAAATGATTTTGTTCTTTTTTTCTTAAAAAAAGTCTTAAACTGTTGGGAATTGTAAATGTATGAAAATTGTTTTTGCACAGTACCTGGCATATAGCAAGTATGCAATAAATAACTATTGCCATTAGTAATATATACAATTTCTAAAATTAAAAATTATACACAAAAATAATATAAAAGGTAGATTATGACTATAAATATAATGATATAATAAAGCAGAAATACAAATTGGCACAGGCTAAGAGACTAATATCCAAAACATTAATGTAAAATCATTGGTGCAGCAAAATTATTCTTAGCTCTCTCCTGACTTTTTAAGACTCATTTAAATGAACCATTAAGCAGCAAAGGATCAATGAAGCACCACACTGGTGCCATGCACTGACCTTACAGTATTTATTTAAGATACTGTTGCAAAACTGAAACCAGGCAAAAACGCAGAGTGACAATAGAATACATAAGCTGATTAAAGAACGCAATAGAACACATATCAATGAAAACAAATTTTAGCTAAATTAAATGGGGAAAAAAGCAAGTTACAAAGAATATAATACCCTTTTTGTAATGTTTAAACCAAAACACAAAGCAACAACTTTTGAGGATACATACTGGCTAAAACCAGGAACAGTAACAGAATAATTTATTTTATTTTATTATTCATATGTGCATACAAGGCTTGGGTCATTCAGAATAATTTTTAAAAATCAAACTATTAGTCACCTGAGGCGGGGGACGCTGTAGGGGTGGAACTGTGAGCCAGAGTGGGTGATCGCCAGTTCTTGAGTCCTATAGTGGGCTTTACAACTTACCTGTGCACTACATATATTCTTTTCACGTGTCAAATATTTCATATTTAACGTTTAAGTTACTTAAACAAGTTACTAGGAGAGCATAACCAAGTCTCAACAGTACTGCTCTCTGGAAGTAGGCCTGCAAAGGACTTCACTTTTTAATACATGTTTTGGATTTAATCCTTTCTATTGAGCTTACTAATGTACTTAGGGAAAAAGACAAAAGAAAGAAAAACAAATCCTTTTATAGTGTGATTTGTCTTTAGCCAAAACCAATCTCTTTCACAGCACCAATTTTCTTTTGTAGCACTTCCCAAATCCAAACATCTAAAACTTGTTTGTTCCTATTTCAGACTAAAATATAATAATTCTCAGGTTATTTCAAATATGATATAAAATGAAGGAGCAAAATACAAATTAAGGTGGCACTACCACCCACCTAATTGGCAATGAAATATTCCCAGGCCCCTAGACAGGGTCTGAGAGCAATGAGAAAAATATTTGTCAGCTGACCTTTTAGGACAGGCAGTAACACTGCCTACTGAATTCGAAATGTGTGAAAATATGTGACTTAGTGTGTATGATTTGCCCTGGTAATTTCTAGTTCTTTTCCAGGTTACAATGGAAACAGCAAATAAGAAAAATCAGGGGTGGGGGGCAGGGAGAAGGAGAGGAGACAGGGACAGCCTGCAGGGGACCAATACACTAAAAAGGATGGGAGCTAATAGGGGATATGGCAACTCTTAATTCAGAAATTTCAGTGAATAGGCAATAAAAGCCCCGTGTTCCTCAGTAAACTCTGAATGTAAGGGGCTGTAGGATAATAGAAAAATGCTTTTTAATAATGACAAGTCTAAGTCATTAAAGAAAAGTAAAACTATTAATTCATCAAATGGTTGAGCAGTACAAACTATGTGCCAGTCATTTCTTGTGATGACCAAGTAGAGATTAAAAACACTGTCCCTGCCTTAAAAAACTTCCCAAATTGGAAAACTAATACACTTCAGAAAGATTTCCATCAAAAGTGATTGCAATTAGCTTTAGTAATTCTCTTATGTGAAACCCTTGATTTCTCAATAGTTCAGGGAATAAAAACAAGACTGCTTTATTAAAACATCTACTGTTCTCTTTGTAATAAGAATCACTTGTGAATGGAGGGAAAATCATACAAAGAAGAAGAGGATCTAAGTAAACCTTGTTCTCTAAATACAAAACAAAATCTAGGCAGAGAATGCACATCAATATCAGAGTAATAATACATATTTATTCACTCAGAAAACTGTTCATATCTTTGGCCAGGCATGGTGGTGAACACCAATAATCCTAGTTATGCAGAAGGTGTAGGTAGGAGGATCAGAGTCTGAGGCTAGGCCAGGCAAAACTGTGGGACCCTATTTGAAAAATAACTACAGCAAAAAAGGGAGGGGGGTATATAGCTCAAGTGGTAGAGCGCCTGGCCCTGGTTCAAACTATAGTACTGCCCACCCCAACCCAAAAAAAGAAAAATTCACATCTTTGATTTCCTTTTATCCTGCAAGTGACCCTCTGGAACAGTGACTAGGGATGTTATGAAGACTGAAGGAAACAACATCAATTACCAGCTTCTGCTTCTGCTTCTTGCAAGGCCACGGGCTGAGCGTGGTCTCCAGAAATGGCTACAGGAATGGGTGCTGGCACTCCCAGGTCTCCTCTGCTAGTGACCCAGCTAGAAGAATCTTCAGAGAGCTTGGCCATATTTCTCTGAAATAAATTGTCTTCACATTTAGTACCTGGAAAAAGCCCTATGCAAATTTTTATTTAAAATGATAACATTAAAAATACAAAAAGAAAGCAATGCCGGCAAACAACCTTGCTTGAACTATCATTAATACTTTTCTTTAGGTGTTACATGACTACTATGACTATGCTAATGGACAGACTTCCTGCTGGCCATCTTTTCCAGATTAGGACATTGTCTGACTGAGGAGTAGTGGCCTGCCATGACACATGACATGAATGGTTTAGGTGTTCAAACCACAGGATAAATAGTATGAAATGAGAATTATTCTTGAAAAATCCAGAATATTTTCACTCCAACAGGGTTCAAATTCATTAATAACTACAATACCAACCTTTTGCCTCTGACACATTGAAAGTAACAATAAAAGTAACTTTAAATTTATATAGTATTCTCAGTGTTTTAGCCTATGCTGTCATTAGGTAAGCCAGTTGAATTCTATGTTAAAGACAGAAACCATGGCTTAGCCAAATTAAACATCTTTGCATAAAACCAGTTCTTCAATACAACATTTAATGAATGATTTTTGTGTTTTAGTCCCTGCTATACACAATACCACTTACTAAATTGTGTGATTTTTTATGGCAATATTTTCAGATTTTGACAACTACCAAATCCCAAATAGCTGACACTAATAAAGCAATCCCATTTGATTACTTAAAACACATAAGATATGCTGGATTCTTGAGGTTTTGATTTTGAATTTGAGAAATCCCCTGACTGAGTGTCAGGAAACCTATCTAAGAAGCCCCATAGAGCAGTGGTGGGAAATTACAGAAAAGGGGCAAATTCTACGACACCAAAAGGAGTAAAAGCTGAATGCAAAGGCAATTAAAATTTTCTGGTTCCCACTCAAAACTGGAGAAGAACAGCCAGGGTAACAAAAAAGGCAGGAAAGTGGCAGCCTTTTCCTCAGTTTTAACTTGACTTTGAAATTAAGAACAGACACAATACACACCCTTAAGCTTACTTGCAAACTTTTTTCTCAACTGATATTTCTGATTTATTTTATACATTATGAACTGTAGTGTTTGTATATTTTGATAAGGCATTCATTTTCTTGGAAACTATATTTGTTCATTCATTCCATCCTCTCTGTGTTAGAAAAATTTTAATCATCTCAATTACCTCAATGGGGACTTTTTTTTTAACTTTAATGAGGGCTTTTGCTCTTTTAATTTCCACGAACAATCCTAAATTCTACAGACTCAATAAATTATAAATCAGATCTTTATATTTATGATACTATAGTGCAAATCACTGATTTACCTCCAATGTCCTGAGCTCAGTTAGCTCAAAAACTGGCAGAAGAGCAAATATTATTTCTATGTCAAATGCCAGATTAGGCATTTCAAAGCCATCTTTTCCTCAGAAATGGAACTTGAACCACCCAACAAAAACAGTAAGAGTCTAAACTCTTAGCCAGATTGTGTGATTCTGTCTCCATAGACTTGTGAACCACTTAAGTCACAGATGATCTTACACTGCCTACAGAATTATAAACCCTATAAAAAGATCCCTGGGGTTGTTTATATAAAACCAACCTTTTGCCTATGAATTGAAAATAACAATAAAAGCAATTTTAAGTGTATATAGTACTTACATGTTTCTAAGTATTTTAACATATGTGGTCATTAGGTTTGAAAGGCCGGTTGACCAAACCCAGGATTGATTTTGAAAATCTAGAACATTTTCACTGCAGCAGGGATTATACTCACAATATAATACCTATGCAAATAATAGGAGAAAGGTATTGTACTTTCTTGACTTTTAAAGCAGAGATAGTCTTTCCAGGAAAGCAATTTGAAAACATCAACATGATTTTCCCATCACTTCTCATCCTAAAACCTATTTTTCTTATTTTTTTCATTAATTTTTTTTCTTTTTCATTTTTCTTTTTTATTACTGTGAATTAATTGTATAAAGGGGTTTCATTGTGATATTTCCATAACTGCCACATATGCATATAATGTATTTTGCCCTATAATTCACCCCTATAATTAGGGTTTTTTTTTTTTTTTGGTGGTGGTACTGGGGTTTGAACTCAGAGCCCCAAGTTTGCTAGGCAGTCACTCTACCACTTGAGCCACATGCCCAGCTCTTATTTTTAATTATCTATTTTTTCCAAAGATTCTCAAAAAACTGTCAAGCAGTGCTCACGGAAAGTGATTGTGCCCTGTCATTTTGATATAGGCAGCAACTACTCAGTTGTAACATCTTTGCAAAATCAAGGATAAAAATATCAACTGAGATGGGCTGGAGGCAGGGCTCAAGAAGTAGAACACCTACCTCACAAGCATGAAGCCCTGAGTTCAAACCTTAGTACCACCAGAAAAACCCAAAAAAATCTTTACAACTTGGGCTGGTGGAATGGACTGCCAAAAAAAAAAAAAAAAGAAAAAAAAATCAACTAGAATGAGGTGGAGTGGTCTTTTAGTTCTCTTCTGGCTCCAAAATTCTGTGCTGTTTCACTGGCAGGTTTGTTTGCAGAAAGGCCAAGCTGTGTCATGCATATCCTACCCAAATCTCAGAAATTAGGCCAGGGTTTTGTATATTCTTTTTCAGAGGGGCGACTATAGTATTTTTTGCCCAAAGTAATAAGTGCTAATGGAACTCAGATTTTCTACTAGCTTATTAACTCTTTCTAGTAGGTATTCAAACCAAATTGTCAAAAATGGCCTTGAAATATCTTCAATCACAATTACTTGCATAGATCTTAACTCTTCTGTCTCAACTCTTCACTCAGAGAATCTGATGACATTGACAGTTTTCCACCTCTAATGTCAAATGTTGACACTGACTGGCCCCAATACCTAGAGAACCAGTTTAGGTCTTTCATGCCCACCTCACTTCTTTAATCATAAAGTAGGAACACTCTAATTTTATCAGATTGTCTGCACAAACTAAAAGCTGGTCTCAGAGTGCACTTCCACAACTAAAGAGTACAACAAATTCATTCTACATGCACATATTCAGTGCACCATGGGCTTTAGGAATTTGGGTGGGTGAACCATGACTCTTATTTGTTTGTGTCTATACCAATACTTTTTGTACTTAGTTGGTGTTTTTCTCCCTAAATAAGATAGAAATTCATGGAGGGCAAGAAAATAGGCTCTAAAGCTTTAAAAAAAAAAAAAAAAAAAAAAAAAAAAAGCACATTTCTTGAAGTAGTCAGACCCAGAAAACAAAAATAGGACTGAGAGTTATTTAGTTTCTGAAATCTCAGACCCTTAAAAAGAATAGCACCTATATATTTTTTTCTTTTTTTAAGGAAAAAGATGTCTGGAGGCTAAGAGCTCTTCCTCAGATTTGTGGCACTCTGAAACAGTAAAGGTTTTTTTAGAAACAGAATACACCATCTTTTGGATGTGCTACAAATAAGCCACTGGTAAAATCACAAGTCCTACATCAATTAAACTATAAAATGAAGAAAACACCACATATGACCTCTACAATCATCCTTGACGTTCGTTCAGTAGCTCTTCACTGTGGGGAACATACCTTTTCCCATCCTGGGTTGGCATTTTCTATAAGTAAGAAGTACATATCCTGAAGTGCTTTCTGTACACAGGCTTTTAGTTTCTCAAAATACTGCACAGATACCCATTTTGACGAACAGGCCGACATGATTTCCAAAAGTTGTTTGTCCTCTGAACCACAAGTGTATTTCTTTTGGGTGTTCCCTAGGAGAAACTCAAGCACAGTTAGGACGTCTTCCTCGTACTGATGGATTTCCAACTGGGTCCGCCTGGCTTCCTGTGTCGTCCATTCTCTCCGACTCTGGTCCAGACATGCCTGCAATTCTGCCTCCTTCTGAAGAAGTAGTTCAGTTTTCTGTTTCACAAAGTCTTCCTTAGCTGCTGCAAGCACCTCACTAATTTTATTTCGATGCTCATCTAAAAACTGTCGGTAATCTTGCTCATTCTGTTCTTGGATTCTGTGGATTTCTTCTTCCTTTTCTCTGTTCCATTCACTCCGGGCCTTGGCCAACTCCGCCCTGACCACCACAGGGACTTCCTCATTCTTTAACTCCAGTTCCTTCTGAAGAGAATGAATCTTCATTTCCAATTCCTTCCTGGGCATTCCGTTTTTCTTCATATTTTCAAGCTCGCTTTTCCATTTCACTTTAGCTTCAGACAGAGCAAAGGAAAGCTGAAGGGCATAACAGCATACATTTAAAAAGTCTTTAAGATTCTCCTCATTAACAACAAAATTAAACTAAATAACTATTTGGGTTAGCCTTTAAACTTCATAAAGAGATTTTATATCATGATTTTAAAAAGTTTAGATGCAACATTCTTCTATAAAATAGAAGGATCATCTTCATTTTAGAGCACCTAATTGAGTCTTACATTACTTAAAAAATAAAACATCAATTTCTTAGTGGGGAACTAAAAGTTGAAATGGTATATATGTATATTTATATATTCACTACATACTTTTATATCTAATTAACCAAGCCTAATGCCAGAAAAAAAATACTTCATACTGGCATTTTTTAAATAAAAATTAAGTATCTTTTACATACAGCAAAAGCAGTCCCATAGGGAAACCTTACAATTACTTAGGAACATAACAAACACCTACATAATTACTTGCTAACAAACGAGTAACAAAATTTTAGTGGTTAGAACAGTTCGTTAAATGACAGTCCCAAACAGAAAAATCTACTTTTCATTCATCTCATTTTCTTTTATAACAAAATAACAAGGCAAGTAGATAAAATAACCAAGCAAGACAAGTAGGTCCATAACCAAAAGCTAACAGGGAAATCAAACAACCAGGACCCCAGCTCTAACCCTGCCACTGACTGCAGAGGCCAACCTATCACAAGGGCTTCACAGAGAGACTAGCAACAAGTGAATTAACTTAGCACTTTGAAGCCAAAACATTCCTCCACGACTTTCAGCCTCAATATCCTCATCTATAAAGTAGGGATAATCACAAAACCAATTTGATAGGGTAGATTAGGATTAAATGACATAAGAACGTAATCAACTGAAAGGACTCAATGCAGAGCCTGCAGATAACAAGGAGTCAAATGCTACACAGCTGTTATACTTTGGATCCCAGCCTTGGAAAAGTTACCTCATCTCTTTGGCACTAGATATTTCCACCTGTATAATCAGTAGTTTGGATAATGACCTTGAGTCTCTTTTTCTTCTAAGATTCCCTGACTATATGTAAAGATGTCACAAGGACACAACAGTGTCCAAAGACAGAACTGGTCATCTCCAAAGGCTTGACCTAGACAGTGGTGGTTGCAATCAACCAATACTATTTACATGCTTGGGATGATGAGTTTACCTGCTTACTAAATTTTATACTAAGAGAATCTACTGTCTAAGGTGAGCTTTACAAAGGAGTTCACCACAAAATTCCTTTACTACCAGCATAACAATTCATAATAATTCACTTGAAACATGTTTAAGGTCATGCTGCAACGGATGCCTGGATTCATTACCAGTGACTTGGGTATAAGTAGCAGATCCCAGGAAATTTGGATGACCTGTCTTACCTTATCAAAAGTGTGCATCTTAACATAAAGTTTTATAAGGAGAAAATAAAAACATTAATCAACTTAATATTTACCAAACTTCACTACATATTCGTCACCTAAAAAGCTAAAAAATCTTGAGCTCAGGATACACCCCATACCAATCAAAACACAGTATGAGTGCGGCAGTCAGGCAACAGTATTTCTACAGATTCTTAAGTGAGCCAGGCATGGTGGCAAACGCCTATCAACCCCACAGTCAAGAGGCTGAGGCAGGAAGATCATGAGCTTGAGGGCAGGCTGGACTACACAGTGAGACTCTGTCTCCAAAAACAACAAGGTCAGAACTTTGTGACACATGCCTGTAATCCCAACTATGTGGAATTCACAGAAAGGAGGGTAACAGTTCAGGAAAATTTGAAACCATATCTGAAAAATAATCTCAAGCAAAACATGACTGGAGGTGTGGTTCAAATAGTAGAGTGCTTCCCTAGCAAGCCCACGGCCTTGAGTTCAAACCCTAATACCACCAAAAACCAACCAAACAAAAGAAATGCAAGTCTCAGGTTCACTCCAGACCTACCGAATGATCAACTCTAGAAGGAAAGCCCAGGAATCTGTGCCTACAGGCCATTCCCGTGCCTACAGGCCATTCCCATGCCTGCAAGTTTCAGAAGCAGCAGAAATGAGAAATGTCTTCTCATTTCTACATTTCTGCATTCACATACATTCAGACCTTCTGGGTTCACAAGGAAAAATCTTGTAGAGTTGTACTCTATACAACTTTATTATTCCATTGACCTCTGAGACACCTATCCTCACATCACATTGCTTCCTCTTTCTGTCCCTCTTACATTTCCTTTTGAAATATTTCAGTATCAAAAAGTATAGAGAGAATGATATAATTAAAAACCCAGGCATGTTGGTTCACGCCTGTAATCCCAGCTATTCGGGAGGCATAAGCAAGGAATTGGGGTCCAAGGCTAACCAAGTCAAAAGCTTGACACAGTATCTGAAAAACAAACTAAAAGGAAAAGGACTAGAGATGTGGTATGGCTCAAGTGGGTAGAGCACTTGACTACTGGGAAAAAAGAAAAAAGATGTACCTTAAGAAAATAGATTTTTACATTAAATTATTTCCTTAAGTAATTAATGGAATAAAATGATGAGTAGAAGATATGAATCATTAACAACTTGTTTTACACATTCTTCTCCAAAATGTGCCCTTGGGAGAGAAGTTCATCCTTGACACTATATCTATGACACCCTCTGTGCTAAATTTGGAAGAGACAATTTAAACCTGAGGGATAAATGGTACCTTGAGTCGGCTGTAGCTCAATTTTCCTAATCCTTACAGGTGTGACTGTTCTTCCGCTGACTGCACTATTTGGACCTATGATGATCATCTGCTTGTATCCTTGGAGTGCTTATCAGTGGACCCTTGTTTTTTGTTTCTTTCTTAAGCAATTTGTATAAGCTTTTTATCATGCATCAGTATTACATTTTTCATATATGGCACATTTAATTGCCTTATTTTAATTTTTGTTATTTTATTTTATTGGCAATACTAAGGGCTGAACTCAGGGCCTCAAGCTTACTAGGTAGGTACTCTACCAGTTGAGCCACACTACCAGCCCTTTTTTGCTTTAGTTATTTTTCAGACAGGATCTCATGTTTTTGCCTAGAGCCAGCCTCAGACCACAATCTTCCTACCTATGCCTCCTTTGTGGCTGGGATCACAGGTGCATACCTCCACACCAAGCTTGTTGGTTGAGAAGGGGTCTTGTTAACACTTTGCCTGGGCTGGTCTCAAGCCACAATCCTCCTGATCTCTGCCTTCCAAGTAGCTGGGATCACAGACAAGTAGACACGCCCAGCTTTTTTTTGTTTTTATTACCTTCTTAATTTTATTTTGTTATTTATTACAAAATAAATGTTTTAGACATTGTACATATTTTAAATCTATTACATTATTTTCACTATTGGGTCCATTGCCTTAAAATTGGGTTGTCATTATGATATAATACAGGTCTGAAATTTTTCTTTCAAATTTTCAACATTTTCACTTAAAAAATGTTTAATGCCATCAACCTACAGTTTATGGTGATACATGAAGTGGGTAAACTTAATTTTTCCAAAGTGTTCCCTAGCTATCACAACACTACTTATTATACAATAATTCTTCATTCTCTTGTTTTGAAACAATTTATTAACTGTTTATTCATAGTTAGGCCTATCTCTGAAGCCTGTCTGGTAATGAATTAAAAACAGTTCTAGATTACTTCAGCCATAAAGAAAAATGAAATTCTGTAATTTGAAGGGAAATGGATGGCGATCATCATGTTGATAAGCCAAGCTCGAAAAGCCAAATACTGCGTTTTCTTGCTTATTTGTGGAATCTAGACCTAAAATGACAAGAATGATCACAATAATGGGACATGAGTGTGAAAAGAGACAGAAGGGCGAAGGTGAAGAGGATCGAAGTACACCACATATATATCTGCACATATATATACATATGAAAACAGAAAGGAGAGGGGAGAATGGTAATAATGAAGAGAGTGAACTTGTTCACACTACACCGTATGCATGCATGGAATTATCACAATGAAGCCCCCTTGTATCAATATATGTTAATTCAAAAATATTTTAAAAACTATTTAAAAGTTCTACTTTAGTGACTCAACACTGAGTTGCTACTTTCCAACATATCTATTTACGTTCTTTTTCCAGAACACTAAAAAATTTTCTAGTTCTTTTATTTTTGAAAATAAATTTTAGAATTATTATTAAGTTTCAAAATTATTTTCAGTATATTGGCATTTTGATTAGAATTAGTTTAGACCAGTAACTTCAGTTAGAAGAGTATACTGGTTATAACATCTGAGTTTTCCTTTCAGGAACATGAAATCTCTGGAAAGAATAGTTGGCTATTTACCAAAGAGAACATGCTAACACAGCAGAGAAAAACTTTCTACATGTGAAAGAACACCATATAGCTAATAGTAAACAGATACCACCTGGTAATACATAGACAGCACGTGATAAACTGGAGATTAATTTCTAAGTCAAGGTTATCTTTCTGAAGATTCATTTCTGAAGCGATACATTATCTCTCCCCACACCTGATGATGACAAGACCAGATGGCACCTGTGATAGTGCGTTCCAGGCATTGTCAGTTAAACCTTCTACACTCCATGAATACAAATTCCCAGAAGAAAGGTGAGACAAGAGGTCAGGGAGAGGGCCTGCTGAAGTGCCTTCCAGGACTGTGCTTACCCGTTTGGCCATGGTGATCTCTTGCTGTTCTTCCCACTTCTTCTGCTCTGCTCTCACACGGGTTTTATACTCTGCCAGCTCAGGCAGTTCTTCCAGCCATCGATGACGCGCATTTTGCACAGCTGCTTCTACCTACCAGACATTAGAGGAGAAAGAGGTAAAGGAGGGTATAAAACTTGAGAAAGAAGCCAATCTTAAACAGCACCTATAATTTGATACATGGTTTGCGTTGTCTCGCTACATGACAGTTACACTGACCTCAAGTGCCCTACCATATCCCAAACAGTAGATCCTAATCCCACTTTTCCAAATTGCAGAACAAGAAGTGGGAATCTATAAACGTTTGATGAACAGCATTATCTCAGAAAGCTTTATACAAGGTACTAATTGCCATTTCCGACAAATGCTATTTGTCTCTAGGAAAAAGGAGAAGGCATGTCATAGGGCTGCATGGTTGCAGCTGCTGTCAACCACCACCTCCTCACTACTCATGCCCTACACATGCACACACCGCTAGAGTTAGAGCCTTATGTCTGGCACATTTTCCTGCTGTCGAGAATGAATTATTACAAAAAGAATGGCAGTAATCCCTCTGCTCAGGCAAAAATTTAAGCTTGGTCAATTATGAGGGTGATCTGGTTAAAAATCTGTCACTGATTATAAGATGATCATTTATTAAGTAATTTGTCCCTATTCCTTTAGTACACACGGATACACACATATTCAAACATATAAACACAGAGCTGTTGTAGGGGCTGAATTTCTCACTATACAATGAATTCAACTACTTGTTAAAAATAAGGAGAAAATAATAAGTTAAATTTAATAATAAGTTAAATTTAATATTAAGTTAAGTTTAACTACTTGTTAAAAATAAGGAGAAAAAATGAAATGGATCCTATACAATTGTTTGTTCTCTCTCTCTCTCTCTCTCTCTCTCTCTCTTTCTTTCTCTTTCTCTCTCTCCTGTACTGGGATTGAACCCAGGGCCTCAAGCTTGCTAGGCAAGCACTTCACCACTTGAGTCATGCCCCCAGTCCCCAACAGAAATTTATATTACTTAAGAAGTTATTATGAAGGCTGGCAGAGTGGCTCAAGTGGTAGAGCAAGTGTGAAGCCCTAAGTTCAAAACCCAGTACTGCCAAAAAAAAGAAAAGCTATTATGAAACATTTTCTTTATACTATATTATGTTAACGTTTTTTTCACAAGACCTATAATACATAAATACCAAAAATAAAACCTTTAAACATTTTCTTAACTTAGTAAACACTTCAGAAAATGATATTTTTAACTGACTAAAGATATCCTTGATGCATACATACATAAACATACATTTTTGCCTATATTTCCAGACTTTAAGGATGCCCTGTAAAGTCATATAGGAAAAAATATATAGGCAAAATTTCAAGTATTTATCAAAAGGTCAATATATTTTTAAAAACCTTACTTCAGGTATCATCTCATGCAGGAGTTTATAGTAAGTAATGTGTCTATGATGACAGATACATCAAGTAATAAAGATTTTTTTTCAAGAATATACATAAGAACTGAGGGGATGACAGCTTTATAACAGAAATATAATGAAGAAAACTTTAAGAACAACGTTAAAAGGTTTTCTACTTTAGAAATGAAAACTTTATTTTATTTTTTTGGAAATATAAAGTTACAAATAAGTTCAAAGGTAGCATATTACAGAGTTCCATTAATAGGTAGCCCCATTTATTTACTTACTGTTTTTTGCAATATTGGAGTTTGAACTCAAGGCCTCCTGTTTGCTAGACAGGCGCTTACCACTTGAACCATTCCACCAAACCCCAATAATTTAACTATAATAATCATGCCTATTACCTGTTTGGTAATATTTTCACAGTATTTGAGCTCCACTTCAATTTCAAGTTTCTTCAAAGCCTCCTTAATAGTTAGTTCCTTCTCTTGTTCTAAAGCTTGCTGGACCTTTCGCTTCTGCTCTTCTACTAGGACTGACATCTCTGCCTTGGAAATAATATCCAGGGTGGCTGCCTGGTCAGTCTGGCTGCCGCAGTCTGAGGTCTTCTTTCTGAGTGGCTTTAGAGTGTGGTCCAGCTTAGACTGCCACTCCTTCTCCAGCTGTTGACTAAGATTTTGTTTGATCTGTTTTCAGAAGAAAAATCATATGAGAAGAAAAATACTCAAAAAAATAAAACCTTAAACGGCTAGCCAAAAAAGCAACCAGAGCTGTGTGTGAAAACCATCTAGACAATGTCATAGCAATGAGATTTATAAATTCAGTCAATGAAAATATATTGTCAACTAAAACTTGATCATTACCCTTTGATCAAATTCAAAGATCAAAAACTGATCAAAAGATCAGTTTTTAAGATCATAATTTGGTTTTTAACTTTCTAAGACACCACTAATATTTCCTAATTTCATTTGTTCCTTTGGCAAAAAGATAATATGTCTTGTGTTTCTGAGCCCACCCATTACTTCTTTTCTTCTAATTCATCAGATGGATTATTTACTTGTTAGTCTCAGTCATTAGCCTCAAGTTATCAGACAACATTTCACAATATGGAATTAGATCACAGTTTCATTTTTTAGAAATCAAAGAAGTGCCCCAAAACCCTGTTATTATATTCTATATTTTGGGTGAAGAGTCAAGAACAGGTAATTTTAAAACTAAAACTTCATGGTAAACTGCTGATAGTCTAATTCTGAAACATACAACAGATGATAATGTATGTGCTTGCCAATTAAAAAGTGTATGTCTATTCAAGAAGAATTGTCTTCCATAGTTAATAATACTGCTTTTTTGGTTAGTCATTCAACATTTTTTCTTTTTTATTAGTGTATATTAATTATACAAAGAGATTTCATTGTGATAATTCCATATATGCATATAATGCACTTTGATCAAATCCACCCCCTCTATTACTCTTTCTTCCCCCCCCCCATTTTAAATAACTTTAACAGGTTTCATCATTCCACTTTCATACATGCATAGAACTACTTAGATCACATTCCCCTCACTTCACCCTCTAATATGTTTTAAACCTGGTGAGAAGGGAATTTTGACCCACACCTCTTTCCGTTCCTTATCCCAATGTGTTTTGGCTAATATCACCGCATTTTCAACCTGCTGCTTAATATCAGCTTCTTGTTCTTTCAGCCACTTGTTTTTTTCCATCGTAAGAGTTTCTTGGTACTTTTCTTCAAGTTTTGACTGCAACTTGCTTATATGTTCTTCTCTCTCCTTCAATAGCTGTCTCTTAAGAGCAAAATTCAAGTAAATATCTCTGTACAATACTAATGGTCTCCAAGTTAAAAACAAACAGATAGCAAAAAAAAGGCCTTCTATTTTCTAAGAAGGAGGTATTTAGCCTGTACTACAATTGAATATTGAATAAATAATCTAATGTAGAATATAGGAATGGCATTATGAATAATAATGTTGATCATCGTGCCTTGTTTACAAATTCACAGCCTTTGCTGATTACTACCCAATCTGAAGGCTCTCTGTATGTAAAATGCCCTCCCCACCGCTGAATGAATAAGCTAAGATGTAAGGAAAGATCCACGTGCTAATAGAAGTTTTAAAACTTAGAACAGAGCTCCTACTCATAGCCCAACTCAACAAGTGCTTCAGAAACAACATGTGTGAAACATCAAAACACACCTTTGGACGTGTTGTTGCCTGTGTCACAAATTCTGTATGCAGACTAAGTTCCCTAACAAAAGCTTGGACACAGAGAAATAGCTTCTGTCCTGCAGAGAGGGGTGACCCCAAAAAGGAAAACAAATTGATGTATCTTTGCATACCTCTGGAGAATATGAAAAGCTTAGACAACATCTCCTGAACATAAGGTGCTTCACTTCTGACTAGGGCTTACAAGGTCTATGCCAGAAACAAAACAAAGCAAAGACCCAAAGAACTCCCAGATTCCCACAGAAGAACGAAATTAAACTTTTAATTTCTAAATACACTGGCCCTTCAAGTGGTGTCAGGGCGGAGGGGGCGGGGTAGAGAAGGAGTGATACCACAAGAGAGTTTTTAGGGTGATAACATTGTTCTGTACCCTGATGAATCTATACATGTGTTAAAATTTACAGAATTATATACCAGATGGAGGGAAAAAGTAAATTTTACTACATGTTAATTTTAGATTATTTAAAGAAAAAAAAAATTAACCTCTTAAGGTACTTCCAGGAGGCTAGGGGAGGCCAAATAGTTTTTTAACTTTCCTTCTTGCACTTAAAGCACAAACATTCATGAGCCAAAATATTAGTGGCAGCTATTAATTGCACATGACCTATTGTATGAGCTCCAGAATGATTCTTTTTAAAGTACCCAAAAAATATATTCCTGAAAAGAATGACCTCTTTGAGAATATTGTTCTTATGTTCTTGCAGTTTATATGTTTTTACAAAGAGTCATTCTGAAGATCTTTTCCCTATTTTAATGCTTAAAACATTACTGAAGGATAAGTTCTCAATTTCTAGGCAATTTAAGATCCGTTTTCACTTTTATACTGCCAACACTAACTAAAAGCAGTTCTCTTCAGAAGTTCTTTACCACTCAATGATTTCTGTACTTGACATGTTTTTTCCAACATAAAAATCTATTTAAAAATAAAATATTAAATGTGCTGAATGTCTCACCTGCTTTTTACTATTCTTTTGAAGTCTGGGTGGCGATAACTTGCTTTAATATAACTTACTCAAAAACTTCTGTATCGAACATTGATTCAAGCCTCTAAACCTACTTTCTCATCTAGAGGCAGGTGGTTTTCAAATTGTGGTCTGCAGACTGGTTCCAACCATAAGGGAGAGTCACATCTGTGCCTCGGGAAGACGCCACCAGGACAGGAAGAAGCCAGCCACTATTTGCCTGTCATTTTATTCTGAGACACTCACCAAGGCAGCATGGAAGAATCAGGCAGGGTTAGAGAATCCACCACTGCTCCTCCAGCTTCCCAAGGGGGGGCCAACACTAACATCTTGACCTTCTCCAGATCCTCTCCTTCCCCATTAGGAGACCATATTCAAATTCCCACACTTCTTCCCAGAAGAATAAAATGATAATTTGCTAGAGAAAGAAATAGGTCCTAGAAAAGATCTCTGGAGAAATACTCTGCAGCTCTCACGGGACTGTGTCAGGCCTCCTGAGTAGTAAACAAACGCATGAAACACACAGATCCATGGGTTTAGACTCAGAGGGATTCTGGTCCATTCTATTTTGCCTTCTGCAGTAATCTACAACTATCATTTTATTTGTATTTCATATATGCCATTTTCTATAAAACTTTTAATAACGACTTCGATACTCACTGAGTGAGCTACATTAGTACGACAGAGCCAAAAGAAGAGCGACTTCTATGAATACCTTTCCCACTGCTTCTCCAGACCAAGTGTGTTAAACAGTAGTGCTGAGGCCTGAGAGGGAAGTGATGCAGACACAGCATAACCCTATACTATACCTTCTGTTCCTGGGCCTGCTGTTCCTTTTCAATGGTCTTCCTGAGAGTCGATTCTAGATCATCCTTCTCCCTGCACACTTCTAGGTAACACTCCTGCACCGCAGCCATCTCCTTATTCACCTTATCCAGCTCAGACCTTAGACACAAAACCAGCAGCTAAATAACCACAGATAACCAAAAGGGCTACATAACAAACAAGGTTCCTCCAATTACAGAGGAGAATGTCCTCTCTATAGCTGAAGGGCAGCTAAGCCCTTTGACTCTCACCTGAGTTGTGAGTGAGTCCCCTCATAAACCTCAAGGAGCTGCTGCTTCTCCAAAGTGTGCTTTGCTAACAGGCTCTCACGTATTTGGGCTTTCATGGCTTCATGGTGCTGGTGGTAAGTCCTCTCACATCTAGCAACAGAGCAATGCTGGCCATTACTAAAAACACTAGGGCAAACTGCTTTTCTTCCTTCCTTCCCACTCCTTCCCTCTAATGCAAATTAATGTCAGATTGCTTTTCCCCAACCAAAAATAATAGTAATTAATATACAACTAATAATCTTATGAAATCTTCAAATTTATCTTTCTTCATGTTTCTAGACAAAAATTAATGGCTTAATGGTCATTAATGGTTTAAATGGTCATTCTTTTCAGGAATGCCCCAGTTCTTCAAACATACAATAGTCTATGTTGAGGACTTCTATTTATAAAGGAATTAAATGAAACAATTGAGGGTGTGGTTCCAAAATTCCACGTCATATAGATTAAACACAAATACAATAGGTATCCAACTCACAAGTAAGTTATGTTCCAAAAGTCTGTTTCGAAGTTTATGATTTGGCACTTGGAAGACATATTCCCTCCCCACAGATTTCTTCTTTATAAAGGATAGTTAGTTTCTCAGACTAGTCTTAAGAAAATAAAATAAAAAACCAAAACCCTAAGCTACAGTTTTTTAGTGAACTGTAGTTCACTGTAGAACTCAACCCACTACCTAACACTGTTTCTATGGAAAATGTGTTCCAAATTCTAATATAAGAAGCCAAGTACTTAACTCCGTCAATCCAAAATCTCAATAGGAAGAGTTTGCTCCTTTTTTTTCAATTTTTTTTTTGTCAGGGAGGGATGGACTTGGAGGGGAAAGGAGGAAGGGAACCCAAGAGACAGGCATCAGGCATCTCTGTAGACCTTACCTATCCACAGCTTCCTGTTTATCATGGTCAAAATCCTGTACCATCTGTCTCATCTGATTACATAACTCTTGATTTGTATTTTTCAGTTTTTCTTCAGCTTCTTTAAGTTCCTACACAAAGATTTAAAGTATTTAGAGGAAATAAATGTCATTTTCATTGAACAATCTACACTCATCTTCTTAACATCCCCTGTGCTTATCTCTGACTTGTAATGTTATTTGACATAATCTCATTTTCATAATTCTACAAAAAAAACCCTCTCTTCAGGCCTTGATAAGAGCACAGATAAAGGCTGGATGTATGGCACAAGCGGTAGAATGCTTGCCTAACAGTTCTAACCCAAGTTTAAACCTACTCAGTACTGCCAAAAAGAAAAAAAAAGAGCATAGATACATTTTTTTTTTTTTGGTAAGGAGCTTTGTGACAAGAGTAAAAGTTAAAATTTTATATTTGCTTAGAAAAATATGAAATTAAAACATTTAACCACAGAAATATTTATTAGCTAGTCAATACCTTACAATAAATCTTAGAATTCAATAATCTTCAGTATCACCTAAATAAGCACGGTCAAAGGTTGACTAAGAATAAAAAAACACCTCTATCAGTCATGCTATAACATAGAAAGAGAACAGGAATCAGACTAGCCTTCCAATGAAACTGCACCCCAAACCACTAGCAAAGGGAGATAACTGGAACCCATAATTAATTGCTGCCAATATGCTTGCCTTCTGACTAGAGTTGTCTGTATCTCTATGGTATCCTTCGTATTTAAGGTCATGAAAATTCTCATTAAAATATAAGACATTTTTAATTACCTGATTTTGTTGTTGTAAAACTTGAACCTCATTTTTAAGTTGTAGAATGTCATCTCTGACCATCACATTAGAAGTAGAAGAGTCAAGCCATAATTGATTACTTTGTTTTTCTGAAGTAACTGTTTTAGTCTAAATGTTCAAAAGAAATCAAAAGTTTTCCACGTTTTAAAAAAATTCTGAATATTCATTATAAAATAATTTCATACTTACAAAAAATTCTAAAATGGCACCAATAATTTCCATATATATTTCACTTTCTTCCCCAAATATAACACAAATTATCAAAACCACTCATCAAAAAACATGGATACAATATTATCAACCAATCTATAGACCTTACACAAATGTCTCCAATTTTCCCCTAATGCCCTTTTCCTAAATTTGTAATTCCACATTTCATTTAGTTGTCATGTCTCGTTAGTCTCCTCTAAGCTGATAGTTCTTCAGTCTTTGTTTTTCAAAGCCATAACATTTTCTAGGAGTACTAACCAGTTATTTCGTAGGGGATCCCTTAATTTAGGTTTTTCTGATGATACTTCTTTATCAAATTCAAGTTACACATCTCTGACATGACAGCCAAGAAATGATGTCTACTCCTTGCAGGAGACACATGATATCAATGAGTCATTATGGTGATGACCAATTAATGACAGAATCTCCATTGTAAACTTACTCTCTTTTCTCTTACAATTAGTATCTTATGAGAAGATACTTTGAGACTACGCAAATATCCAATTTCTTTTCATAATTTCACTGAGTAGGATTAGCATTTTTTCTATTTCTGTATGTATTTTTATACAAGTATTATACAAAAATCCAATAGGTACAATTTTCAGACTTTGGCAAAGTGCTCTCTAGAAAAGTCATACAAACATACTGTCAGGTGGTTCCTGAGCCTGCCCAACTCTCTTCACCTCCAATGTTGGTGGTTACCTTTAAACAATTATTGCATTTGATGGGACAAGGGTTTCTAACTATTGCTTTCATTTGAATTTCTTGGCTTGCCACCAGAGTGGAACCTGTTTTTATTTCCCCCCATTTTCTCAAATTTGCCTGCTTATATAACTACGCCTTACATCTGAATGTTTTCTTTATCTACTGCTATAAGTACTTCATTGTTGGGGAACTGTCACAAATATTTTTAAATGCATTGACTTGTTGCTGGCTTCCGTACACACTGGCTCTGAGGTCTCTTCCACAATGCTTAGTAAAATAATCTATACCAATGTCCACTCTGCTCCTGCGTAGGGGCGAGGGTATGTCTACTTCATGCCCACACAGGGGAACACCAACATGACTGAGAGTCAGTTCTTCCAGTTCAGTGCAGAGTAGCAGTGCTCACTGGGAGGCAGCTCTAGCTGATGGCATTTCTCTTTTCATTTTTCATCTTTTCCTAAAGGCCATATTTACTATCCCAGTCAGAAGAGAAAAGAGCTAAAAATAATACCTCCTGTGATAGCTTCTCCCTAGATCAGGGAGAAGAGGTGTACCAATAAGATTTTTAAGGATTTTACTTAAGTCATTAGAATGCCTTTCTCTACTGTGTTTTCATTTTCTTTATTTGGCCTCTGTTTTATTTATGATATTCATTTGTGATTATTCCAGATTAATGAATTCTTATTGCCAGGAATGAAAGTAGTATCATACTGATACACTGAAAACCTATTTTCATGACTAGATTTCATACACACGGTATGACATATCATCACACTACAAACATACAGGGACTATGTACTTGCCAGCACAGAGCCTTTCGCAAAGATCTTTAAAAAGAGAAGGATCACTTGAATGTCACAATAAAATTTCTTCCTAAAGGTAGAATATTCAACCCATTATCTTCAAGAAAACAAACGTATTAATAATACACCAATTCTATGTCTTAAAAAAGATTCTAGCTAGAAATATTCTGAACTGGTTACTGACCACCATCTATCAAAGTGTGTTTAGAATCAGAGCATAGCTTTAACTACACCTGAAATGAGGAAAAGATCTCTACTGAGGATCAGGATCAGATACAAAAAGGCCTCTATGTTTTATTTATTATATTCACAAAAAAACTCAGTGTAAATGTAGGCCCTGAGTGCTAGTAAGTCAGTCTGGTTTTCCGAAGGCCTTTACCACACGCTACCTTAATGGCCCAGTTGGTCAATGAATGGTATCTATTCCCAACCACTGCCTAGTGTGATGTATGGGCAAATCTCCCAATTTTCATTACATTCTATCCCAGAAATGCCACAGACCAGTGTCCTGCTTTTGGATAGGAACAGTTTTATAACTATAGATGATGTTCCTGAGAAAAATTCTGCTTTAAAATGACTATTTCATATGCTATTAAGTCATATGACAAGAAAGCAAAACATAACTCTCTGTAATAATTTTAAGTTGCTCTACATAAGATAAATATAAACAAACATAAAATGTAAAATACTATAAAAAAAATCAGTGTCATTAAAGGGTTCATAAAAGCATGCCAAAGGCTGGTGGAGTGGCTCAAGTGGTAGAGCACCTGGTGCCTAGCAAGTGTGAGGCTCTGAGTGCAAACCCCAGTGCCACCACCACTACTTTAAAAAAAAAAAAAAAAAGAAAAAAGCAACGGCATGCCAAATAGTCTACATTAAATACTTTTTCTGGCCTTCTTAGTATTTAGAATGCATACTTAGAAATATTTTTGGGAGGTTTTTGATGGCCCAGTTCTATTTTAAAATGTATCAGGGACATTCACACTGATTTGGGCTTTCTCTGAATAGATTTTTCTATAGCCAGAGACGTCCACTATGATGTCATTAACCTCAGGACTTGAGGGCACCTATGATCATTCATTCTAAAGATAAACATTGAGACATCTAAAGATTTTTGGCCTCATTCAAGATTTCAGACAGGTTGAGCTTATATAATCCAGGTTGCTAGTCACATGACCTACTCTCCAGTCTCATCTATTTACTTGCTATATCTTTTCATTTATTCTACTCATGGCTGAAATGTTTCCCCATCTTCTCTCTTGGGTGTGTCTTTCAGGACAAAAATCAAAATCCCCTCCTTAAAGATTTCACCAAGGCCAAGAATAAGCAGAAAATATATTCCTTTAAATGGCATTTCTTCCTTTAAGCTTTAGTACTTCTAAAATAGTCAAATGAATGCCTGAAAGCCAAAGGCTTAACTTGAATGTGGGAAGTGTGAAAGTAAGTCACTCTGTAGACTACATACCTCAACCTCAAAGCTTTTGCCATCCTCCTTCGCTTGCTGGAGATTATCAATTTTCTTACAACAGTCCTTGAGATCATTTTGTAACTGGGACACCAGATGACGCTTCACTGAGTTGCTACCCAGCAACCGGTGCACTTCTGCTTTCAACTTCAGGATGACCTCATCTTTTGAAAGCTCTTCATTTGGGGCTTCTTGCTGCACAATGCTAATGAAGAAATTGTGGGTATTAGGATTCAATCAAGTAACAGCTCAAAGATAGTTATTCCTTAAAAGCACTAACCACAATGGTGACCATGGTTTTCCCACCTACACAATTATTATTTTTTAAGTAAAGAGGAATTTATTAAGAAAACAAAAGTATATCACAAGGTTTGAGGTGGACAGTCGAGTGAGAGTCAACCACCTAAACAGGGACAGTATACCTCAAAGGTAGGCAGTTGGATAAGAACCAAAACTGCCACCTATACAATTATATACTAGTATTTCAAAGCAATTCTTTTTTTTTTTTTAAGATCTATTTATTTCATTTTGTGGTGCTGGGAGCTGAACTCAGGGACTCACTCATGCTAGGCAAGTGCTCTACCACTGAGCTACATCCCCAGCTCTCAGAACTATTTTAAATTTTGTCATACACACAACTATCACTTTTGCTGTGTCCCCACATACAAAACAAGTTCATTCATGAGAAAACCATTCTTAAGATTAGTCTTGCAGTGCTACTGAAAGGAGTTTAGACATGTGAACTCTTGACATGCCCTACATTTGTTTTTAGTATGTTTCACGTTATATATACACATCCCAAGAAAGATGACATGGATATTAAGGGGGAAAAAGAATACTAACACCAGGCACCCTAACAAACCATTGCTATTATCTCTCTTTCTCGCTTTGTGTGTGCATGTGTGTGTTACTGGCAACTAAATCCAGGGACCCACACACGCTAGGCAAGCTAGCTACAACTTGCGCCATGCCCCCCCAGCTCTTTTGTTTGCATTTTGTTTTTGAGATAGGGTCTTGCTAACTTTGCCCAAGCTGGCCTGGAACTCTCAATCCTCCTGACTAGCTACGATCACAAGAGTGCACCACCACATCCAGCTGTTATCTCTTCCAACTTATTAAAACACAAGTCTTGGTGGATATCTGAGCAAATGGAAAAACATAAAAATAAAAGCCAAGTTAACTTAACTCCATTTCAGTTTCCAAAAGCCTGAGATGAGCCTTTCTGTTCCTTGCCATGATGGATTAACAAGGACTACATTAAAAAAAAAAAAAAAGGCAAGGACTAGATTTATCCTCCTCTTTAAGAACCTAGAAAGTTGCCGGCACCCGTGGCTCATGCCTGTAATACTAGCTGCTCAAGAGGCAGAGATCAGAAGGATTGCAGTTCGAAGACAAGCCTGGGCAAATAGTTTGCAAGACCCTATCTCAAAAAAAGCCATCACAAAATAGAGCTGGCGGAGTGGCTCAAGGTGAAAGCCCTAGTTCAAACCCCAGTACTGCAAAAAAAAAAAGAACCTAGAAAATCAATCAAATAGATGAAACAATGGTGCTCAATAGGACAGTGACTTCTGAGAACAGAAAAACAAACAAGGCCGGGTGTCAGTGGCTCACACCTATAATCCTATCTACTCAGGAGGCAGGGAGGACTATGGTTCAAAGCCAGCCTGGGCAAGTGGTTTGCAAGACCCTATCTCGAAAAAACTAACACAAATCAGGGCTGGACTGGGGGAGTGGCTCAAGTGGTAGAGTGTCTGCCTAGCAAGCATGAGACCCCGAGAACTGCCAAAAAAAAAAAGCTGAGCCCCAGAATTGCCTTGCTTTCTGCCTTTTTGAAAAGTCTCCAGAGTATAGCATAGGAGTAGGAAACCCAAACAAGAGTCCAAAAATCTTACTGAGTTGCAAAGAAACAGTTCAGCATCTGGGGAAACAGAAGTAGCTAAAATTGAGGAGAGAAAAGGAGCTGCACAGGAAAAGAGCTTTGGGGCATCTCTGCATGGGTGAGAGGCCAGGGAAAGAAGCACAGGAGAGGGCTGGGAATGTGTGATGTTCTAATGAGCCATAATAGGAATATCCTTATTCTCAGGGTCTCAGATATTGCCTTATATAGTGGGCCAAATTAGCCCCAGATTAAAGTCTTCTCTAAGCCTGATCTAACAAAGCCTATAAAAGGTTGAGGAGTTGTGAGGATGGCTCACTGGTAGAACGAGAGACAGAAAAAGAGAGGGAGGGAGAGAGAGAGAAGGAGGCAGGGAAAGAGGAAGGAAGGAAGGAAGGAAGGAAGGAAGGAAGGAAGGGAGAGAGGAAGGGACGGAGGGAGGGAGGGAAATAGAAACATGCATACCCTATATCCCAGAAGAATAAGGAAAACATAAATGTGATAAGAAAAGAAACAGAAAAAGACCCGACTGGACTCAAATAGAGGCAAAAAGTAACAATATATGAAATAAAAAATACACTAGATTAGATTAAGAGTATATTTAATATTGAAGATCAGTGACCATGAAGAGATAGCAATAAAACTCAATAAAACTGAAGACTGAAAGAAAACTGAAACAGTAATATATATAACACATTAATTTTTATAATACCAGCTTAGTTGAAGTCCAAAAGGAGAGGTGAGGATGACAGAAAAAAAATAATGAACAAAATTTCCGTAACCTGATGAAAACAAAAACCTCATAAAACCTAGAAGTGCAATGACTGTCAAGCAGAAGAAGCATGAGGAAAACCACCAGATGTTACATCAATGTCAACTTGCTAAAAATCTAACCACAAAGTACAGGCAGACTCCTGAAGAGGACAGAGTTAGAGAAAGCCATCCTAAACGTTGTACATAAATCTGTACAAGCCTCAGTCTAGGCCCTGAACTAGGTTTGTACAGTACAGACCTCCAAGAACAGCAATGACTGAGAAAACAACTGCAATTCAAACCTCACAGACTTGTCTCATGACACCTAACTCCTAAGGGCTGTGTACAGGGCAAATTCAAACTCAAACGGCAGGATGTGAGGGCGATCTGGCTGCAACATCTGTCACCTCATTGATCGCCAGGGTCGATTCGGCTGTTCTGACTGGCTAGGCGGGTGTCCCCTTCCTTCCCTCAACCGCTCATGGTGCATCCCCTCCCAATGCTGACGCACTCTGGTCGAGAGGGACGAACCCATCCCCGATAAAGGAGGACTGTTCTTCGGTCAAGGGTATACGAGTAGCTGCGCTCCCCTGCTAGAACCTCCAAACAAGCTCTCAAACTCAAACGGCAAACCCTGGAGAACTAAGATTTGAAACACCCATACAAATTTCTCCATAACGTAAAATTCACAATAACTAGGATGCAACCTAAAATTACTTTATATAAAACCAACCAATTCTTAAGAGAAAAGACAAATCAATAAATTATAAGTTTAAAGTAGCTTTAAAGTAAAAAAATGCCTAAAATTATTCAAAACATAGACTTAACAGAGAAAAACTATAAGGAGCCAAATTGAGATTCCAAGTAATTGGCGGCTAGAGTTAGGAAGCAGAAAGCGACCCTCCTAATAGTGAATCTGGAGAGCAAGCGGAGACACACTATGCAGGCACATAATCATAAGAAAAGGCATTAACTTTGCCCCCTCCACACTCTCCAGCCGGGTGCAGAGAATATACAACTTCACGTTAAACGGAAGAAACGCAGGAGGGCCCCGGGGCCGCCGTGGCTGGGCGCCCATACGGCTTGGGAGACAGACCAGCTTACTTTCAATTAGTACACTAACACTCCCTGTTTATACCTTTGAGAACTCTCTTGTCTGATACCTTGTTCTGCTTTCTCCTCTTGTCTGTATATTTGTTTTCCCCTTTTCTTTAACTTCTTGCTTTCCATCTCAGCTCACTCTTCCATTCTAAATTACCATTGTTTTATTACAAGCTAGAAATACTTAATTGCACACAGTACAGGGACAGTAACAACACCAAGGACAATGACGGAAGACAGAAAAAACAGGGAAACCAGTTTCCCCACAGCAAAAAATTAGTACAGGAACCAGAGGGGAATGAAGAGAAACAGAAACTCAGATCCAGACTCCAACAAAATGAAGATAAACTATGCCAAAGACCCAATGAAGCCCACAAGAATAATTTAAAAGAAGACATACTACAAGTACTCAATGAGAATTTTATAGAGATGATACTGGATAGGGTCAACCAAAATGTACAGGAGACACTCAAGAAATTCCAAGACAACAAAAATAGAGAATTTGAAAAAGCAAAAGAAGAAATAAAGAAACCATAGAAGCACTGTATAAACACCAAAGTGAAAGAGAGAACACAATGAATAAATGATAAATGAACTCAGGACAAAAATAGACAACATAAAGAGGAAAACGCCAGGATATGGAAAACCTCAGAAAAAAGAACGAAACAGAACTGCAAAACAAAACGGAAGGCCAATCCAGCAAATAGAACAAACAGAAGACAGAATCTCAGAACTTGAAGATGAAATGGTAATTAAAGGAAAAACTGAAGAACTATTAATTAAACAACTCAAGACCTGTGAAAAGAAAATGCAAGAACTCACTGACTCCATCAAAAGACCAAACTTGAGAATCATGGGCATCGAAGAAGGAGAAGAGGTGCAAGCGAAGGGAATGCGTAATATTATCAAACAAAATAATAACGGAAAATTTCCCAAATCTAGAGAAAGATATTCCCATACAGATGCAAGAGGCCTCCAGGACACCAAACAGACCAGATCAAAATAGAACTACCCACGACAATCATCATTAAAACAACAAGTTCAGAAACTAAGGAAAGAATATTGAAGGCTGTAAGAGAAAAAAACAAGTAACATACAAAGGTAAACCCATCAAAATCACAGCAGACTTCTCAACAGAAACATTAAAAGCAAGAAGAGCGTGGGTGAGATCTTCCGGGCACTGAATGAAAATAACTTCAACCCCAGGATACTCTACCCAGCAAAGCTATCATTCAAAATAGATGGAGCAATAAAAGTCTTCCATGATAAGCAGAAACTAAAACAATATGTGACCACAAAGCCACCATTACAAAAGATTCGCAAGGATCTGCACACAGAAAGTGAACCCAACTTAACCATGAAAAGGCAGGCAGCACCAAACCACAGGAAAGAAAAAGCAAGACAGTAGAGAGTAACATCAAGTTAGGTACACACAATCAAACCTTCAAACAACTAAGACAACTAAATGCAGGAAT